TATAAATACAACGCTGAAAAAAATAAAAAGTCGAGTTGAATAAGCTCAATTTTTCGCATTGAACAGTGTGAATATCAACATGGAAGCTCACTCACTATTCTTGGATTCATACCGGTCCTGCTTAAAAATAGCACGACTAGATTGAATTTTGAGCAAGGAATCCAAATATAGGAAGCTCGAGTCTCAAAACTATGAAGCGAAAAAACTTTCAAACTTTTTTCGAAAATGAAAATTTTTAAAGAAGCTTTTTTATCGTGGATCTTTTGACTAGGTAATTGTCGGTACCGGTACTTGCGTGGTACCGGTACCAACCATTGGAACCGTACCAAAAATACCGAAGCTTTCGGTACTAACTCGGTACCGGTACCAAAAGCACCGAAGTTTTTTTCATTATCTGAATATATTTTTGAACTCACAAGAAGCTTTTTCCTTCTTAAATCGCGAAGACTCTCGTCCCTTCATTTTTTTCGTAGGTATCGAACTCTTCGGTACTTTTCCTGGTACCGAACGATTCGATACCTAACAGAGTACCTGTGTGCCGCACCGCTGCCGAAGGCGTCCAAGTTTGTGGAGGTTCTCTGCGTAAAAGCTTATTTTAGCCACCGTAAGAAAAAGTTTTGCGTAAAAACATCATGCGAAATTGGCGGAATCACTGGTTCAGTATGTCTCTGTCATCTATATCTGCATAGGCATTGCCAATATACAGTGGCGGATCCAGAATTATTTTTTGGTACGTGCGGTATACGATAAAAGTGCGAGGTACGTGCGGTCGCCATAGAAACAAATTATTCTAAGAGAGATCTGGTGGGGAAAAACAGGTTTTTGGGTTAAAAGGCACGAGCGGCCGCTCGTGGGCTGGATCCGCCACTGCTAATATAGGATGAGAATATTAATTAGCCATAATTTCAATAGCCTCATACATAATTGTTTTCTAGAAAGTTTAACTACAAATAGAAATTCGTTATTGAGAAAAAAATAAACTTAAATTAAAAATAAAAGTGTAAGTAAAAACATAAAATAAAAGTTGTTTGATGAAACTGACAATGGATCTTGGCTTGACGTAAAGTTTTTTGTACTCAAATTTGATTGTGATTGGCCCCTCCGCTGACGATGGGAAGCTTTAAATAATCTTTTAGTCGCCGCCGCCGATTGAACATTTTCTTTTAACCGCCACCGCCGACCGCGGAAAATCTTTTAATGAAGTTCCGCCGCCGCCGCTGGTCGAAAAACTTCTATTACACACCGCCGCCGATTTTCCGACCGGCACACAGCTCTATTCGTGACCTAAACAGATATCGTTCTCAATAACATATTCTGAAAGAGCAAATATTTTTTCATAGATATGATACTATTGTAGTATTTAGAACGTGTTTGGAAGTGAGTTTATCTTTAAATCTGAACAGTCGGTGTCAGTGTCCAGTAGACAGTAAAACTTAAATTGTTCGTGGAAAACTCAATCATTTTCAATTTTAGACTGAAGATGATCGAGTTTCTGATTTGAAGATGATAGAATTTTAGCGATTTTTATCATCAGTGTTAAAAACGGCATCTAATTCAAGTAATCACAAAAATATCTGTGAAAAGGTTGTTCCAGTTAATGACAATAAAATCAATACTATGAAATGGCATATGTAGTTCGCTCACATCAATTTGTATTTCAATTTAACAATTCAAATTAAATGTGAATTATTACACTCGATCCCAACCTGTTACCTTTTCGAGATATCTCCATATGTAGTAATCATTTTTTGATTAAAAATCCCATAACAATTTTCAAATACGTACCGATATCATGACACCTGTTTAATTCAATCCTGCCTAAATCCTTCGTATGACACACTCAACTACTAATTATAATATTCATTTAAACCATATTCAATCGGCTAAAAGTCATGCGCAAGTTTCGCGCTTCTTCAGTTATTTATTGCATTACGGCTTTACGTATAGTTTTCTAATCATGACAGAGATGTAATGTGAACAATACATCGTCCAGTTGAACTTTACTTACACAACATAAGAAAAAGTAAGTTTCAGTGGGTATTTTCATTCAAGTCCGCCCAATTTATACGAAGCCGCAAAAATATCGATACTCCTTTCATGTAGGGCATAGAAAATTACATAAAAGCCTCTAATCCCCACATACCACATGAAAGAGCAGTTCGAGTAGTACAGGTACTGGTATTAATCACAGGGGCATGGTAGCTGTCGCAAAATGGCTGTAAATGAGAAAACAGCATTCAGTATTTTTCCTCTTCTGAACGCAAAACAAAACGAAAAGTTCTTATATTATAGATAGAAATGAAACTGAAGAGCTGCTTAATCTAATCACAACAACAATTAACTAAATATGTATCTTTTTCTTTGACTATGGCTACAATCTTTGTATCTTTGATGACCCCATTTTGAAAGTAGCCCACTTTCGGTCCCTCTAGTTCAAAAAGTCTTCAGTCGACCTTTTTCATTTTACTTTCGAGCCCTACAAAATGGCGGCCAAGATTTTTTTGGCCCGCTTCGTTTTCATCCTCGTTTACCTATCGCAAAAGTAAGAAATATTGATTACTGTTTTTATATTTTCGCGTGTTGTTCACCGCGTTTTTAGATTTCAGTCGCGGCAAAATAGTAGTTATTCATTCGCAACTGATCTTATTTTTAACTAAAATAAAACAAAATTGCTTGAAAATAGTTGTAGAGAAAAATAGTTTATGGCACGCTATTTACTCAAAATTTGATTGATCTACTTTCGTTCAATGAGGATTCGTATATTACATGGGAGAAAAGTGTCGATTACGATAATTTACCAAGAAATCTATAGCCATATTCGTCGAACATAACCGACTTTGTTTTAGTACTAGAAGCACCCAATGATTTATCTAGTGAGTAGGCTTGATGGGCGAAATTCCACTCGAAATTTCGATTCGCCTACCCAAAAATAAAAAGTTTATTTCGTTTTAGCAAAACTTTTTTTGCCCACAGTCCCTCCAAAAATTCCAACCGCCCACTCAAAAAATGAAACCTAGATAAACCACTGGAGGGATCTGAATGGATGCAGTATTATTCGTGCATGATGATATCATTGTTTCTCTTCGGTTCTATGGTGATCCATAATAAGTTATAAATTAAAGTTACTGTTACATTAGGCTGAGACAGTGAAGCAATATTCTAAAAAGAATTTTGTTTTATTAAGAATCATGTTTTTTGAGCAATAGTGACCTACATTTGAGGCTTTCCACGCCTATGACAAATAAAAGCTACATATAATATATATATATATTTTTTTTAAACTGTCAATGTCAATTCCATGTTGTAAAGTTAGGATTTAGATGGTTCGATCTATCTGAAGGTAAATTACAGTTGTGTTCTGAAAGATTTGCGATTAATTATACTACATGGTGCTAAATGCTATTTCATATTAGAAGAAAACATTAGTTAGCATGTTTTTGATTCTTTGCATACACCTGCAGAATGTTTGCCATAATCAAATTCTTTCATGTTCCCAACTTTCTAACTTCTTTTTTTCCGCAGCTTTGTTACTAAATTTCGAAAAGATTATCTCATCATATTCTTATCGACTGCATTTAAGCACTTTTAATATTATACTCTTAAAATTATACCAGGTTAAGAGTTCTGACTTAACCATCGATTTCTGATTATTGATGAATTCTTTAAACTTTCTCTTTCTAACGTTCAAAATAAACTGCTTCCATCGTGTATAAAGAACTGCAACGCTACTAGGCCACCACCAACAGAAGCCGTTTAGGTGAAAATAAAGCATTAATGCATTTTTACAAAAATAAACTAGGATACATTGGCAACAAACTTTTAATAGTAGATTTGGAAGAGAAATATTTTGGCAAGGCAGTTTGTAGACCATTTTATGTCACAGAAAGGAATTGGCTGGTTTAGATTTAAGCTGCCTAGCTGCAGAATTATTTATTTATTTTTGCTGGGGATCATAATTTTGACCATTCACGATTATTGTCTTTTTGTTTGATTGAAGAGATAATAAAGAAAGAAAGAAAGAAAGAAAGAATCTAATCAAACTACTAAGTCATGTTCGCATGTATATCATTCAATTTAGCCTTGCAAATTTGGTTAGTGCTTTATATTTGAAAATTTTTGCACACCTTTCAGATTTACAAGAATCTAAATTAATAATGACTACACATGCATGTGAATAGTATACTTAATATACTAATTATTTTCTTGTTATCATATGCTTTCGTCAGAAATAGACTTTTGCGTGTCTGTTTGACACGCATAAATGTGTTCAATGTTTAGGAAACATCCATCGTGATCACACGTAGCTCCAATTGTTTTCTCAATTATTTTTCGGTTTTATCTGTTGTAGATCAACATTTAAAGCAAAGAAAGTATGTCGTCAGAACGTTCTATTTCTCCGGATCCTATCGTTGAACGTCCTAGTAAATCAAAAGCAAGTGGTTACCGTGAAAATCAAGACGGACCATCTTCTCACACAGGTGCCGGTTCTTCTCTACCACCTCAACAATCGTCACGTGCTCCAAAACGTTACCGTGAAATAAGTGGTAGTCGCAGTCGCTCAAGAAGTATGACAAGAAGTCGTTCACCAAGTTTAAGTCATAGTGGTACACGATCACCACGCTCAATATCTCCCGATCATACAACAATAAAAACAAGTTCAAGCGCGGCTGTAACAAAGAATGCTACACCTGTTGATGGTTCAATAACAACATCATCGAAGCATCGACATGAGCATAGATCATCATCAAAAAAGAAAAAGTCAAAACGTCGTAGTGGTAGCACAGAACTGGATCGATATGACTGTGGGATATGTTTAGAAAATGTTCCCAATTCGAAACGTTTATTTGGCGTATTGGATAACTGTGATCATGTATTTTGTTATGAATGTATTGTTGGTTGGAAACGTTCAAAGTATAGTAATCATGAATCAGCTAGGTACGTGTTCTTTCTTGAAAATAAATTCCTCTGTTTTGTTCGTTCCGACAATGTAACTTACATTTAGAAGCTGTCCGGTGTGTAAAACTCGTTCATCGTTCATAACACCTAGTAAACATTGGTTTGAAAATAAGGAAGAGAAATATAAAATTGTGAAAAAACATAAAAATCATTTGAAGTAAGTCCATGTTTCTTAGTTCTCTTTTTTTATCCTATACTCTGTATGCACTAAGTTCCAGGAACAGTTGTAGTCCAACAGTCACACTCATCTATCTTTTGTTTAGCTACGTCTTTTTATTTTTGCTTATTTCATCTCCTATTTGTAGGATATACACATATTATTTACATGTTACATAATGAGTGGATTTTAGTGCTCTTTATCATAGAGTTATATTTATGCAGACGGATCTTAATGAGCCTTTGCAATTAAGCAGCCGATATACAGCACCTAATCAAAAACTAACGAGTTGTTGTTGTTACTTACAGAATTAGAAAATTAAAAATTAGGCCTTATGTGAAAAAAGTATATACGACCAACACGCATTTATTTTACGTATTTACAGATACAAATCAATATGTAGCCCATCTTAAATTTTAACTGTGTTTGTGACCAATGAATGGAAAAAGTTACATGTAATAACACAATTTATACTGTAATTATTCATTAGATTATGTGCAAATTTTCTTGACGGATATTTCTAAGTTCAAAAATCAAAATCAGGAAGTTCTTTTTGCCTTGTTTACCTTCTCTTAGGAAAGTTAAATTCTCGGCATAAAGGTACGTTTTCGTTTTTGTGCTAATAATTGAAATTATTAATTCAAATAGGTTTCTTGTCAGAAAATTTGCACACAAGCATATTATTGGCGTCGTTTTTGGAGGAAAATTTAATTATTTTCAGCAAGAACTGATTTATATGCATACTTTAATATTTTGTTTATCAACTTATCCGTCTTTTAAATAAGTCCATCGATATCGATTTAGATAATGTGTTGGCCGGATAATATTTAGAAAGTGTACATTGTTGTTTCTATGTTTTACTACTTACTAAGTTCTACAAAATAATGCGCACATGAGATTTATGTACGATTATGTGTAGAGAGTAGTACTTTGTTTTAATATATTTTTCGGTGAGTATTTATGTGCATTGTAACGGGATTTGTGCTTAATTTCAATGGAATGATTAATCATAAGTCTAAAAAAGTTTTTCTGTTTTGATTTATTTAGAGCATTACCTTGTCGTTATTATCTTCGTCATGGATTTTGTCGTTTTTCCGATCGATGTTTCTATGATCATCGTGAAGCAGCACGTCAGTATCGTCAACAACATGGCTCTAGTGGAAGTGGTCATCACGATCATCGTTCACATTATTATTCTCAGAGATCACCGTCTCCACAGGAGTATAGACGTCGTGAACATCGTGAAAGAATATATTAGACAAAAAATAAAACTTAAACAAAATAGAAGGAGTATTTCGATTTCCTCTTCCTTTGTTGTTGTTTTTCTCTCTCGTCGAACCTTGTCGACGAAAAAACCTTGCTTGATGTTCACTATAGTTCTTTACGTCAGTAGTATTCAATTTGTATACGCTCATCTTTGTCTAAAACTATTCGTATAGATTCAACAAACTTTCTTTCTTTTGACATTTTTTTATTCTTTATGGCCCATTATAACGAACAATCATGCGTTGTATCATCAATTCTTTTCATTTGTTTTGATCTCTTCAGTGTCAAATCCAGAAGTGTATTGGTCTCATTTCGTTTTTTGTCTTTGTGTGTACTTTGTTTACTGAAATATAAAAAAGAGAAACAAGAAATTTTTTTTATTTGTGATTGAAAATACTTAAGGAGAAAGCAGCTGATTTATGATGAATAGTCAGGATATACGAGAAGTTATATTGTCATATTCTATGATTAGTTACTATCGTAATTAGCCTGAGCAGTCAGTTAAACACACAATCATTTACATTTGTAAAAAGGCTAGGAAAACGAAAAATAGACTGGTTATCTCAATTGTGCATGTGACCATAAATAGGAGAAGAGCCACTATGAAACTTCAAATAAGTGTAATACAGGCAAGTTTTAGTTTTTGTACGTGCATTCAATGGACTAAGAGTCATTTCGTAGACAGGCATTATCAATTTGGTAATCTATTTTTGAATGTCATTTTCATATTTCGTTATGTACGAACAATATTTTTTCGTTTTACCTGTTTTTGTTGGGTAGCTAGCAGCTCATCTCAAATTTTATGAATAATGAAACAGCTATATAGTTGTTTATTAAGGTTGTCAAAATACTGTTTATTACTTTAGATCTGAAGTATTTTTCAAACATGACATCTGGTGAAAAATCGTTTGCTTCTGTTGCTGCTAGTGGAGGTGGAGGAGAAAATGCTTATAAAGCAGGAAGTGGTCGTATGGGTGACGGAAATTTCAAAACACGACACCGGCCAGATGCCATTCGAAATACTAATATTGTAGCTGCCAAAGGTACAACAATGATATATCTCTTCATTTTTTCATACTAATTATTCAAATTTTTGTTTTATTTAGCTGTTGCTGATGCGGTAAGAACAAGTTTAGGACCGCGTGGTATGGATAAAATGATACAAAATGGTAACGGTGATGTAACAATAACAAATGATGGTGCAACAATACTTAAACAAATGTCTGTGATACATCCGGCATCAAAAATGGTACTCAATGCATAATAAACGTCCGTTGTATAGTTTACAATTAGTCTTCTCTTAGCTTGTTGAGTTGTCAAAAGCGCAAGACATCGAGGCCGGAGATGGTACAACAACTGTCGTTGTTATTGCTGGAAGTTTACTCGATGCTGCATCACGTTTGGTAGCGAAAGGTATGTTCATTTTTTTATCTATTACTTATCTATAAGTTGGAAATAAGAAATTTCCTTAAGTAGAAAAGTGCAATTTTAAAGTCAATATTGAAATGTGAGTGAAACTTACCTAAGTTTGTTTTTTCAAGGTCTTCATCCAACAACAATAGCTGAAGCATTTGAAAAAGCAGCCGACAAATCTGTGGAAATTTTAAAAAGCATCAGTGTACCGATCAAATTAACGGATCGTGAATCGTTACATCAGAGTGCATCAACAGCATTGAACTCAAAAGTAATTATGCCAATATTTATTTTGAAAGAAAAATATATCTCTATTAGGAATTGAATCCAGCACATTTGTTTTCGAGTCCAGCGCTCTATCATTGAGCTGTCGACCACATAGCGTAATGCATATTAATCCCTTTTTATCGACACAATGTGCTGGATTCGTCTGCTAGTGGAAACATATTTTTCCTTCAATAAACAACCGTTACAAAACGTATCAAAAATTATATAATTATTGCAAAAATTTCGAAATCAACTTCTCTATTTGTTAATTTCTATTTCTCCATAGGTTGTTTCACAGCACACACATTTACTTGCACCAATGGCTGTTCAAGCGGTATTAAAAGTCATTGATCCAAATGTTGACACAAATGTTGATCTACGCGATATCAGAATAGTAAAGAAACTTGGGTCAGTAATAAAGTTTGATAAAGTATTTTACGTGAATACTTATCTTTTTTTTCTCCAGTGGTACAATTGATGATACAGAATTAATTGATGGTCTAGTTCTTGATCAAAAAACAATTGGTTTTGGCGCACCGACACGTATTGAAAAAGCAAAAATTGCCCTTATACAATTTTGTATCTCACCACCCAAAACTGATGTAAGTATTTGTTTTACTTTGCGTATGTATTCAATAAATCTACTTTTCGTGGCGCTTTTAGATGGAGAATACTGTTATAATTAGTGATCATGCACAAATGGATCGTATCATCAAAGAAGAACGACAATATATTCTCAACATTGTAAAACAAATAAAAAAAACAAATTGTAATGTTTTATTAATACAAAAATCAATACTAAGGTAAGTTTGTATTTCGTGGGGAAAACCACGTTATGCATAATCGATGATTTCTTTCCTTATTTAGAGATGCCATTAGTGATTTAGCCGTACATTATTTAGCAAAAATGAAAATAATGATTGTTAGAGATGTTGAACGTGAAGATGTACCATTTGTTGCAAAAGTATGTTTCATATTAAAAAGCAGAGCAGATTGAATAATTTTTCTCGTCTATTTAGACATTAGGATGTAAGCCTATAGCAAGTTTAGATCATTTTCAACAAGAAATGCTTGGAACTGCGGAATTAGTGGAAGAAATATCAACTGGAAATGAAAAAATCGTTAAAGTAAGCAAATATAAATAGAATTAAATGATAGTATGAAAATGTTTTAAAAAGTACGTCCTATTTTTGTAAGATATCATTGAATCATTTGTACAATACAATACATTTGTGTTGGGATTCAAAATATTATGGATTTCGGTTTCTTTTTTAGATAACCGGAGTTGCTCATCCGGGTCAAACAGTATCGATATTATTACGTGGTTCAAATAAACTTGTCCTTGAAGAAGCTGATCGCTCCATACACGATGCACTTTGTGTGATCCGATGTCTTGTTAAAGAACGGTATAGTATCTACTTGTCCTATACTAGTCATGAATAAATTTGTTTTCTATTTCAGTGCATTGATTGCTGGTGGTGCAGCACCTGAAATTGAATTAGCTGTGCGTTTAGCAGAATATGCTCAAACATTATCGGGTGTTGATCAATATTGTGTTCGTGCATTTGCCGAAGCTCTTGAAGTTATTCCATATACTTTGGCTGAGAATGCTGGATTAAATCCAATAGCAACCGTTACTGAACTTCGAAACAGACATGCACAAAATGATAGAAATGCTGGAATCAATGTTAGAAAAGTAAATAATATTCTTCGTCTAATGTTACGTTTTTCTTATATCATGTTTCATTTCAGGGTTTAATATCAAATATTTTAGAAGAAAATGTTGTCCAACCATTGCTTGTTTCGGTTAGCGCAATTCGACTGGCAACAGAAACTGTTCGATCTATATTGAAAATTGACGATATTGTAAGTGTGCATCTTCAATATTAATTTCAAGTAAAATATAACGATTCTTTTTTTCTCCGTCTTAGATTGAAACAATGTAATCGAAATAGTCGTCTAATAATGAACGTGTTCAATGTCTTAGGGAATTCTTTCAACTGCTTTCTCTTGTTGTTTGCAGTTTTAAAGTTTAACATGTTCATTTGATAATTTTCACTGATAATTTTGAAAAAGAAAAAAAGAATGAATGAAACAGTTGTATTTACTTATACGAAACTTTTTGTTTATTTTTATTATCCTTTTTATAATAAAAATGTTTTTAGAAAATGTCTCTATATTAACCAGAAAAAGTACGAGAAACATAAAACGCTTTTATGTCAAAGATATTGTTTTTATAATTAAAGATCCATTGAGAGAACTTCTTTATTTTTTAACATCTATGACCTTTAAATGTGGTAGTTATGATGGTTGTAGAATACTCTTTCTTCTCTTGTTTTGTACTTTTAATCAAATGCGAGGAAATTAAAACGCGAGTCAAACAAACACTGAAAAGAATTTTCTGTACAAAGATCTTATTCGGGATATCGGAGTTTCAATGAGAAATTTTTCGTTAAAAAAACTTTCATTAAACGGAAGCCTGTTAAAATTTTTAATGAAATTCTTGTGGCAAAACTTCAGATCACAGTTATTTTGCAGAAGACATTTTAATGAAAGTACCAGAGTTTTCATTAAAAAAATTTTAATGAAAAGTTCCAATACTTTCATTAAAAAAAAAACGCTTTAAGGAAAGTTTTTTTAATGAAAGTTACCCAATCCTCTTATTCAAGATCTCATTTTACTGTGAAGATCTCATTTTACTACTTTCACTTGTTTCTTATTTTTCTAAATGAATTCGTACTTTGAAATAGTCCTAGCATCCACTCTAAATATGTTATTAAGTTATGCTAAGTTTCTCATCTAACAGAGAACGAGTTCTCATCTTAAGTAACAGTTTGATATCCTTTGACTTTTTTTACGTTTTTTATAAAACTAAGTATATTTAATATAATTGAAAAACACTTTTGTAAAATAATTTTACAAAATGTTTTTCAATTATATAAAATACATTGAGTAATATTGTTTTTCTCTAATGAAATGCTATTTTAAACCGTGACCTTCTCTCGTCCTTTACCAAATTGATTTTGACATCAAATATTTATGAAGGATTGGTAATATTAAACGAATTAATTTTTAATAAGGCATGTAGGTATGTGCTAAGTTTTCTATGCGAGTAATATTTCCCAATGGAATGGATACTCCATTATTCTTCTAAAAAATTTAGCGAAAAATTCATTTTAATTTATTTTTAACCCAGCAAAGAAAATAGCGTGATGAATGCCATAATGTGTCACGCACAAAAACAGGAGACTATTGTCAATGAGATCCGCTTTGTTGGCTGACTCATATCTTGAAATATAAAATTTGCATCACACACTGCACTGCAATACTAAATTTAAGTATTATCGTATTTGAATCTGAAGTGAAAAGATGAACGGAACCATAACTAATTAACGGCTGCTAACGAAAAATATCATTAAGTATTTGCTAAACAATTTATAGGTGGTATGTAGGTTAACGACTGAGTAGGTAAAAAGTTATAATTATTCGAGCACTTAGCGCTTTTATTAATTATTTACTAATAAAGAACACAATTTTTTCATTGATATATTATCCATGCACAGAATGTTATGTAATCGGGTGGTCTAGTCTAGTGAAAATGGATCATTTTTAATTTTTCTTCGTACCATGAACCAAGCCTCTGTATTTTAAGATCTAGTTTCCGAAAATGAAAAGCAAAGATTGGCAAAAAATTGTACTTTCGAAATAGAATCCTGGTGATTATCCACGGTAAATGTTTCGTGATTTGAATGGAGAACTAGAACTGTATACAATCTAACGTTGGTGTAAAATGATCCGCGAAACTAGCTCTATCAGTTTATTCAAACCGGCTGGCAAAATACGTATTGTGCAAACAAAGGCAACAATACAAGGGTAAACCACCGATTAAATCAGAAAAAAGAAAATTAGCCAGGAAATTAAAAACAAGCAAAATAATGGTTCATTGGAATGTTCTTATCGTATGTTTTTATCGTATTATCGATATAGAGATTACATTTAAAAAATTCCATATTTCGATGTAGAACATTCCAATGAACCATTGTTTTGCTTGTTTTTAATTCCCTGGCTAATTTTCTTTTTTCTGATTTAATCGGTGGTTTACCCTTGTATTGTTACCTTTGTTCGCACAATACGTATTTTGCCAGCCGGTTTGAATAAACTGAGAGAGCTAGTTTTGCGGATCATTTTACACCAACGTTAGATTGTATAGAGTTCTCGTTCTCCATTCAAATCACGAAACATTTACCGTGGATAATCACCAGGATTCTATTTCGAAAGTACAATTTTTTGCCAATCTTTCCTTTTCATTTTCGGAAACTAGATCTTAAAATACAGAGGCCTGGTTCATATACCATTTTGTAGAAAATATCCCGCCACTTCTTATGGTCACCGTTTTCGATTAAGTGGGGGAAGGTGAAGGATTCCCCCACCTTGTTTGAAAAAATGTACTCCTGCTAAAAAAAAAATTACTCCGAACAGTTAAAAGTCTTCTTTTTTAATAACTAATAATGCAACTGTGTAGAATTTCATTCTTTTTAACTTTATTTGTTAAGAATCAAATACTTTGACCTTTACGGTGAGAGTTACTCCATAAACTTCCCCCACCTTGCCAAAGTTATATCGAAAACACTGCTTATGGTAAACGAATTAGAATAAACAGTTGGACTCATTCCCAGTTTGCAAGCTAATTGATTTTTTATATATTTTTCAATTTCCCATTTTGCAAACCAAAAATAAACGAAAAAACTTCCCATTTTGCAAGCCAATTAATAAAGAAGAAAATCTAGATTATTTCGTTCAATAAGTAATCAATAAGTAATCAACAGTAAAATTTAGAAAACTAATTAATTAAGAAAAAAATATAGATTGAATGTATAGACTGAAATATAGATCTTAGAAGACGTAACAATTTTATTGTCAATAAAAGAAAGAACAAGATGATACAGCTGTCTATTACAAACGAAACTCAAAGTGTTCCGGGGTGTTCTTAGCATGCAAATGTTGTCAATTTTTCAGAGAGGTCTAATCATTAGACTCTAATGATTAAATTCAAAGTTTCGGATGCAAGCGTCTAAACCAACAGATTGTTCATTGAAACCTATAAAATGGATATGATACAATACTGTGATACCCATTCTTCTTCAAATTCAAAGTTATGCAATTTTTTTATACGCTACGCGTAGCGTATAAGTATATTTTTGAGGTTGGTGGAAAAAAAAACGTTTAAAATTATGCTATGTCAACGTTTTTCTTTAATATTCTGTGTTCATTGTACTGTTTTTCTAAGATCTATATTTCAGTCTATACATTCAGTCTATATTTTTTTCTTAATTAATTAATTTTCTAAATTTTACTGTTGATTACTTATTGAACGAAATAATCTAGATTTTCTTCTTTATTAATTGGCTTGCAAAATGGGAAGTTTTTTCGTTTATTTTTGGTTTGCAAAATGGGAAATTGAAAAATATATAAAAAGTCAATTAGCTTGCAAACTGGGAAGATACCAACAGTTGAGATGGTACGAAGAAAAATTAAAAGTGACCGATTTTGGCTGCACTACCCGATACTTATTTCTCTTATTAAAATAACACTTAATTAAATGTTCTTTTCAAAACTATAGCATCGTTTAGCGGAGAGAATTCAATCACTAACTAATCATCAAGAAAACATCTGTGCCGCCTGTGCATGTGTGGAGAGATCTATATGCTTGTCATACTCTTCTCTCTCGACATACAAAAGCACTTTGAACTTTCGGCTTATATGAATTCGGAAGAGAGAAGCATTTCGATCGTTGAGCGTAAGTAGTTTGTACTTTCGAATACATTGGACTCCAGAGCTACTGCTGTGTTTAATGAGCAAGTTTACTTACTTTACTTTACTTTTATTCATCATAGATAGAAAAGAAAATTGACAAGCTATGACAAAAGTGACTAAAAAAGAGTGTTATTACGTCAACCATTTACAAATATAAGAATATAAACAAACATAGTTAATTAACACTAATGGTTACTTGACAGATCTTGTTGGAAATAATGAACAAAATGAGGAAGGGAAAGACTTTCAACAACATTTTCAGGCACCTCGTTTCACTTTTTAATCTATTTATATACTACGATTACACTACGCAAATAATCACGATTATCTTTAATCGTGATTAAAATATAATCACTTTATAATCACGATTAAGCATTTTCTAGTGTAACCGAAATTATTCTGGAATATGATTAATGATATTTAATCACGATGAACAGAATTGTGTGTAACTGCACTAATCAAGATTAAAAAAATAATCATGATTTAATTCGCGATAGCTATTATTATAAATACCCAGTAGAAGTAAACTCATTTTTGTGTTGGCAAAGTTAACATGACTACAGTAACAGTCTTTAATCAGATCAATTGATTTGTTGAGATCGACTGCATCGACTTCATTCGATATTATTTCATCTTTTAACAAATTTAGCAGCAAGTTTGTTTCTTCCTCAGACTACCAAGATCTTTTGGCTTTCGTTTTAATCTTGTAACTCCGCGTAGTCATTTTTAACAAAAAAATTATTATTATAAAATTATTATTAATTAATTATTTATCGATCTGTAACAATATATAGTACTGTCAGGAAAATTCTTTAGTAGGCAAAACAGACTTTAGGCTGATTAGTTATTGCAGTTTCTTTTTTTCAATAGAGGCGGTTAAAGTTAATCACGATTAAAGATCATCATCTTCCAAACATGATTATCTTTACTCATGATTTTCAAAATAATCGTGATTAAAGTAGCAGTTACACCACTAGTTTAATCATGATTAAAGATAACCGTGATTATCTGCGTAGTGTAACCGTAGTCAAAGTATCTGACATTTTACAACAACGAAGAGCTGTTTTTTTAATATGCGATAATCATTTGAGACCGTGTAAAATGATGAGACCAACGGGCCTAATTTCGTTGACGCATGCCACTGGTTGATCTCTAAGTTTCAAAACCAAAGGCGAAAGAAAAGTTGGAGATCGATGAAAAATTAACTAATTACAGTTGTCAGCGTTAAGCTCCACTAACATTAACTGACACCAACAAAAGACCTTGTCAGTCTCTGCTCTAGCCTGTTCAAGACTTTCGTCATGGTCAATAACAGCAGGGAAAAACAAATCATCAGCAAAAAGTAATGAATTTGAGATACATTAGTGGCCTACATATAGAAACGTGTTCTATAGTGTCATTGTTCATTACACGTTTCAACTCTTTGTTCTCAGCATGCTGCAAAAAGTGGTTTATTTTTGTTACGCAGAAAAAGACATGCACATCATCCTTTTTTTTATCTAAAATGCCATGGGGTGCTGGTTCAATTTCTCTTGTGAAAAAATTAGACTTTTCATGTTTGATACTTAAACTATACTTTCTCTCTGTTTCCTTAGCATAAAACATTCTAGAAATTCAGATAGAAAGCGACCAAAGGAAGCAAACCGCTTGGAATTCTCAAGATATGGTCAGCGGCGTAGACTGAATCAGTTAAAATACCCATACAACTCTATAATAATATATTCTCTTACGATAGATTTCTAGAAAACCTCTGAAAGTTCAAATAATAAGAAAATAGATGTTTTTGCTCATATCGACATGTAAATGAAGAAAAAGGGAGTATTTTCTGAGAGTTCCAAGCAGTTTGGTTGGGTTTTTAGTGAGATTTGAGTATTTTACTTTTGGCAGTTGTAGCTGAATTAGTAGATTTCCTCAAAATTTAGTTCCACTAGGTTTTCCCACCTTTTCCTGGAAATAACCATTGCCACGAGATCCAGTATGTTGAATAACCTATGTTTCCATTTACTTTAGAGGTTATCCAAGGTCACCTAATACCAATATTGGGACTCTCAGCAAAACTGATACCACGGCTAAAACTACAAAGGCTAAACCTATTGATCAAGATATTATACGTAGCATACTTTGTAGGAAATTCGACGAGCTTTAAAATAGTATATGATACAAAATGTACTAGTGTAAGAAATAGTAAAAACTGGAAGTACGTAGCATTTTTCCCTAGTCGGTTTACTTCTAGTCCATTTTCTAGGACTGGTTCCACCGATCTTGAAATTCTGAACTTGCCAGTTTGTAGCAAATTTTATAAGCTTCAAAATGATATATAACATTAAAATGTATGTTTTCTTGTTTGAGAGAAAAAAGTGCTACAACATCAAGGACTGTCTACTATATTGTATACGTAGGATTATTCTAAGCACTCTACTACTATCAAAGCACTATGGGTAGCTATTATATTGCACACATTCTGAAGAGAATTTTAGGGACTATCCAATGATATATTTACTTTGTCGCCTACGCGAAAGAAACATGAGAAAAACATCTTTTATGTAACTTATAGTTAGTTGATCTATGAGGGACGTCGATTGGCGTCCTATCGACGAAGAATTACTCAGATTTTGTTTACCAAAAGCACGCGAAATGACTTAAAACCGACTGATAATACCTTTTTACCACTCACAGAATCATTTTTAGTCAAAAAATAAAGTGGGCCGATTATCAGTCTTATGTCTTTCTTTCTTTTTCTTTTTTGTTAAAAATTTTTTCATTCTGCAAGAATTTAGAGCAAACATTTCTCTACAAAGTTACAGGTTGAATAGCTCTGCATGATTTATTTTGAGGTTTTGGCAGCGATGCGTCAAGTACACAATCAAATACTCGATGAGTACTCGGATATCGCCAAAATCGTAAAATAAATTATACAGAACTGTTCAACCTCTAATTTTGTAGAGAAACGTTTGCTCTACATTCTTGTTGAATCAGAAAATTTTTAATAAAGAAATTTACGAAACACCGGATTTTTCAAAAAATATAAAATGGTTAGTCAATTACTTGGTGCATTCCTACTTATGAAGTGTGCTGAATCGAGCGTGTTAGAAACCTTTTAGGTTTGCATGAAAATATAGTTGAAAAAGGGTGACTTCATCGAAAGTAGATTTTCGCTTAGCGTTTACAACGGACAAACATTGCCACAAGACTCACCATGATTGATAATCCATGTTTTTTCCTACCAGTCGTGGGACATCTACCAAATCTAATGCCACGCCTTGACAACAAAATAAAAAAATGAGTCTTTAAGAGCTATCTATTCATGCATGGAAACACATGTGTTTGTATATGAAATTCTTGAGATCCAGGTCGCTTTTTGAAATGATTCTGTGAAAAAGCTGTTTTCTAAACAAATTTGTAAAATATTTCCTGTCAGGAAACAAATCTCATCTTTGGAATAGCGAAAATTGTACGCCACTATCTATCCCCAGCTTAAAATTATTCGAAAACCAAGCGTTTTACGTTTTTGAACCGAGAGTAATTTGAAATATAAAATTATCTTTCGTAAATCTGGGATTACTCTAGAAATATGAACTCATCTACACGGATATTCAAGAGGAAAAATAGAAAGATAAACTTATTTTTGAAATGTTGGTCCTTCTGCTTCGTCAACTTTTAACGTAGTTTTATTTTTTCTTCCGTTGGATTTTTGCCTCAAATGAACATGTAAATATTATGCAAAATGAAATACTCGGATGAATCCTATCTAATGATGACATGAGAGAAGTAAAGAAAGAAATGTTATTTATGTTGAATAGACCACATACAATTTACAGAAGGAAACATAGAGTACACATTTAATGATAATTGTATTCCAAATTATATTCATTCATACACCGGATGTCAAAATATGATTCTGTTTTCTTTTTTTTTAAAAGAAAACGTGTTTATGGGACGGAACTAGCTTATAAAATATCTTACTTTAATAAATTGATCAACTTTATACTAAGTAAAGGATAAATATAAGCATAAGGCATGAGATATATTAATAACAACTTCATTTTTTCGATCATATAATATAGAAAGTAGATAGAAAAAGCATGTATGATTATGTTGGATTATTTTTTCACAAATTCAAATCAGATAATTTTAGGTTTATACGAAAAGTAAATTTAAAAAAAATAATCTTAAAATTTCTGTCACAATCATAATATAGTTTCTCGAGCAACTTGAACATTGAAATTAAAAGATTTTATCAATATGTCTTTACGTTTTGATTTCAATACAGTACGAATGAGACGTATTTTATAATATTTATGACTAGAAAGTAACTTTTTTTATCATATTTTCTTAAATGGTATATTTGATTGTTACAAAATCATTTTTTCAACTTATAAAAGTCAAAACAAATTCTTTCTTTTTCAAAAATGATCACTTAAACTTATCTATGTTAAGAAATATTATAGATTATAAGACTATTGTTCATGTTGCATGCCAATTATCCATGTCATCATAATAATTAAGGATGAAGTATTTTTCTTAGAGCTATCACCAATATGTATAGTATGTTCTTTAAGTAATTACATATGATCATTAAATAGAGTGTGCGTAACTGTATCTACGAAGACTAGATATTTGCATGTTGTATTATAACTCGTAATGAAACACTTCGAACAAATATAATATTTAATTGAAATCGTAAAACTGATCTGATATTCAAATACATAATCCGACTATGTAGATATATTCATCATAAAATAATAATACAACAATAAATAACAGGAAACAGCTAAAAACAGATATTTAATGTGAATATAACTAAAGAAAAATGACAATAGGAGGTACATAAACAATGTCAAAAAATTGCTTGACTAAAAGAGAGCTGTTCACTTCAATTTCTTTTTTAGTGATTAATGAAAGTAAAAGTACTGTCAAACAAAAATTTTATAGTGTAACAAACAATATTTTTTTGTAACACTTAAATGTATATAATTAATATCCACGGACACAAAATGATAGCCTAACAGAATGTCTGTCAAATATGTCTTGGATCATTGTAAGAAAACAATAATAATTTTCTTGATTAGAGAATCAATCAGTTACATGACTGATAAAATCGAGTAAAAAACTAGTTAAAAGATATTTTATTTTTAATAACTATATCGATCCTAGACTATTTAACGATTATTTAATTTTAGATTTTAACCACAATAAACACCACCATCATCTTCAATTTTTAAATATTTAGTTTGTTTAATTGATAATTGGGTTTGAGTTTGATTTAATTCACTCATATAATCATTGTAATTTGAGTAAAGATAAGTTGATGTTTGACTATGCTGATATTTATTATAAGGTTTTAATAAAAAATTATTATTTTTATTTGAATCATCTGGTTTATTAGATGAACTTCGACGACGTTTTTTACTTAGTTGAAAATAGGATAAAAATAATGTATTGGTAGTAACAGTGGCTGATGATGTTACTTCTTGAGCAGCTGTTACTTCTTCTAATGCTACACTATGTTTTTTTCTATAACGAATCTTTTTTAATGATGATTGATTGTAATAATAATTTATATCATCATTTTGATTTTTTAATGGCGTTGAAAAACATTTTAATACTTGAAGATATTCTTCTCGGAATGATTCACTTAGAAAAACATATAAAACTGGATTAAGACTATTATTTGCATAACCAACAATCAATGTAAAATTAGTTAATTCTTTTAACAGTGTACTTTTCAATGTTCTTGTTGAAGATGAAGAAAGTGGTGATAATTGAAGAGATTGAAGTAATGGATCGATGGTAATATATATTTGTAAAAACCAATATGGTATCCAACAAACGAAATAGGCAGTAATAACAGCTAATACAATACGTGTGACTTTTCTATGAGAACGTTGTTTCATTTCTGATTGATGTTTTTGACGAATTTTATGAAGACGAATTAAAACTTTAAGATAAAATGTGGTAATTAATGTAACAGGAAATACAAAACCAACAAAAAATGCATAATAAGTAAATACGATTTCTGGTGGTACTCGACTGATAGCCGGAAAATCAATAACACATCTAAAATAATAAAATAAATATTGAAATAAAAATTAAACAAAGATTAAAATAAAAAAATCTTACTTTTGAACTAAATAACCTCGCCAAAAAATTTTAGGTGGATCAGATGTTACCATGGCATATAACCAAGTCGGAGATAAAAATAAAGCACTCATGAGCCAACACGCTAGAGAGAAAAAAAAAACCAATTAATCATAGGTATTAATTATCTCTTTAATCGTCTTAAATTAATCGTCTTAAAATAAAAGAAGAGAAAAAAGACATCGTATAAAACGAACCTGTTATAATAATTCCACATTTATAAGGTGTTCTAAAAAGTATTGCTTTCAATGGATGACAAACTGCTAACCATCGATCGAATGAGAGTGCAACTAATAATAATGAACTAACATATTGATTAATATGAATAAAATTGTAATACATTTTGCATAATACAGCTCCAAATATCCAACCATTTGCTAAAATATTTGTTATTAAAAATGGTACACTTAATAGTAAAAGAAAATCGGCAACGGCTAAATTTAATAGATAAGTATTCGTAACAGTTCTTAATCGATGTGAACGTAGTATACTAACTATAACTAAACCATTACCAAAACATCCAACAAAAAATATGATAAGATAAAATGGAACAAAATAAAATAAACCGTTAAATGATGATTGAGTTGTCTCTAGAGTTATTGTAAAATTTGTAGTATTATTACCCGTTAACAATAACATTCTATTGTCAGGAATACCTCAAGTCATTTAATAATCTTTATCATAAGTTAAACCTAGAAAGAGACAAGAATAGGTAGATTTTGGAAAAAGAAAAAGAAAGAAAATGAAGAATTTTCTTCTTATTTCTTTAACAAATCAAAAACTAAACGAAGAAGAATGAAAAGAAAACACCGAATTATCACGGATGTTTCTCTTTATTAGACTATAATTATTACTACATTTTTTTTTTTCGTCTTATTCTTGAAGTAGTCTCAAACGCCTAAAAGGAAAATTGTATAATTAGAGAAGAAAACGCACATAGAAAGAGAACAAAAAATTATTCTTCAGAAAAATGACACAAATATTCATGAAAATATATTTCTATTGTCTAATCGGATGTTACATTCAGAAATATACCACAAATCCACTTTTGTACGGATATAAAAAGAAAGAGGTTTTCATAAATGTAGTACAAAATTCGGTTTTGAAATTTTTGATGATGAAAATTGTTATTTTTTTTTCTATTTCCCCGAAAGTTTTTCAGCTCTTTCTTATATACGAATTCAGTTGTACTACGCTTTTCAAAAAACAACAACAATTCATATTAAATTTGATAGATTATAACTATAAATAGTTGGTGATCATGATAAATGAACAGAGAAACGTCAAAAGATACTTGATTTCCAACATGTTCTCTTATTTGGTTATTTAGAAAACATATAGTACTCATCGGCAACTGAACACCAACTTTTTCTTTTATGTTTTTACATAATTGTAGATAATGAATACTAAATTAAAGAAAGGAAAACATATATTTGGTATAATGGATGATCTACCTTTGTAATCTGTATAAACAACAACTTTATCATTTTATATATCACATAAAGTATCAGCTGTTGACGCAAATCATATTCCATGCTTAATATTTGTTTATTCAGTTATCCAAAAGCAACATACTATGTCTAAGTAGTTGTGATTCAGAAATATTCCAACAACAGATAAAATTATAGTGCGATATACACATCATTGAATATATTACAAGGACCACTATTTTAAGCAGATTCTCATGATGATATCAAAATGTAGCAATGACTGTGAGCTATCCACGATATAAATTTCATGTGTTGATTTCTACGAGATAAACAGTTAAAGCCATTTTATGATCGATAATTTTTTGTGTCTTTTTCAACAGAATAAAATAGACATCAGTGCCAAACTGAGCTTGTGTTCAATCTAATATTGATTTCGATCATTCTTTTATCCGGACAAATTATAAGTTCCTTTTTTTTCAAATGAAACTCTAATCCATGTTTAAACTAGATCAAACTAAAGGCAAAGGAAAACTCAATGTTCAATCTGAGTTAGATCTAACAACTTAGGTCAAACAGCGACTAGAATTTTACTTTCACAGTGCTGCTTACTTTTTATGACATTTTATTGAATTCTGTCTATCTGTTATAGAAAACGTTGTATTTTTTGTATGACTTATGCCCTGTGCTATCAAAGAGAAAAAAGACGAAAAAGTGAAAATGAATCAATCCATCTGTGCCTCAAAGTTTGATTGACTTGAAATAAGAGAATCTAAACATGATTACAATGATAACAACGTCGAATCTCTATGTTCGACTTGGTGTTATATGTGTATGCAAACGAACATGCAAAACAAAGTGATACGCTTGTAATAAAAAAACAACGTTTTCTGTTCAATAAAATGTCATAAAAATGATCATCATTATAAAAGTCATGACAATTGACACATAGCTCATTTTTTATTGTTGATTGTAGAAAAGAAATAGTCGGAAGTGCAATTTAGACATAAAAAAACACTGTTAGATTAATCTCACACTAGCCTGCACAGTCGAATCTTAGTTTGATTTTAAAACTTCTAGTCGATGTCTAAGTTGTTAGGTGAATCTCACCCAAGTACATTGCGCAACTCGTGCCGCAACATGTGATAAGAAAATGGACATGGGCAGATTGAACGTTAAGTTTTCCTTTGCATTTTAGTTTGATCTAGTTCAAACATGACTTAGAGTTTGATTTGAAAAAAAAAGAAAGTTATAATTTGCCCTGAAATTCAGATAAAAGAATTATCTAAATCAATGTTAGATTGGAGACACAGACATAGACATAACTCGGGGTCCATAAGTCATTTTAATTTGAAATTTTTAGAAATCATTATTAATTTCACAGAATACAGATTCATTCAAGAGCTCATATCTCATTAGAATTGTACAAGTCAGATACAATCTTTCTTTTGAAATTATTTGTTGTCAGATGTTTTTTCACAGGAATAAAGAACATATGAAACATGTTTTTGTAATTTGTTCATGCTTTTGAATTTTTATCATAATTTAATGTCTTTTCAATATAAACTTCTTTTTAGTATAGACAATGTTAAAATAGAAAAAAGTATTAAAATTATTTTGAATCAAACATTTCTGTTGAGTATTTCTCTTTTATCATTATCTTGATTACCAAGACGAGATATATTCTAGAGTTATAGTTTTAAAATGCATCACAATCGATTGCCTAAATTATTTGTAAAGCAATAATTTAGCTAACTAAACTTCGAATATTTGTTGTTCTTATTTTTGAATATCTCAAACTAATTGAACAATAATTATTAAATGAAAACATTCACAACTTTTATAAGGATGGGAATATTAGTTGCATTACATATTCCTAGCTCATTTTTAATTATAATAACAATTTTCTAGATATGTAAACCGATAACCGATTCTACATTTGATAATTTTGATACGAAAACTTTCTAATATAATTCAAAATTTGTAAGTGATAAGAATCGTGTAGACAATAATATTTTCACATCATTTTTATACAATGATAAAAACATACTTAAATTTTCTATTTAAAATTTTAATCAAATCATTTTTTATGGAATCACTTGACTATGATAATAATAATTAGTAGTTGTTGATAAATCAATGTGCATCACAGCACAATGCATTATTTGAGCAATTCGGATGTGTAATCGAGAGAAAGATGACAAACAAAAAATATTCATATAATCAAATATTTTATAAAGTTACTCATTCGAAAAACATTCAAATTGATACAGACAACTCAGAACAAAAAAAAAAGTTTTTACCGGATGTTATAGTGGCAAATTCTTCCACTAGAATGATATTGAGTCAATTATAATGACTCAACGTATACCAGCATCAGTGATACTAAACCCAAAATATGAAAAACTTTCGGGGAAATAGAAAAAAAAATAACAATTTTCATCATCAAAAATTTCAAAACCGAATTTTGTACTACATTTATGAAAACCTCTTTCTTTTTTAT